GGCAACTCTATGTAGCATGCTCCCGTGTTTCCAGCCCTACACATTTATTTGTCTTTAGTTCTACTTTTAGCAAGACAAGCAATATTGTTTATCAGGGGGCTTTGATATAGATTTTGACAATTTTGAAAGAGATTTCTTCGAATAATGATTTTGGGAAGCTTGACTTTTGTAACTACATAATTTGTGAATAATTTGTTATCATTATTGCTCTACTGTAGTTTCATCAATAAAGCTTTTTTTACTTTATTTTATTTTAATTTTTCACATTTAATTCATTTACATAACTCTATTCTTGAAAATTGTTTTTTATTTTTTTTTTTTATGGTATCAACATTTCTGGTTCAATTAAGGTTTTTGTTAGCCTGCAACACACCTTATCATAGCTCATTGCATTTATCAGGATAACTTTGCTGTTTTGATTTTTACACCATTAGTATTTTCATGCCTCTATAATATTATATTTGTTTGCAGAATTTTATAGACAATTTGGTTTGGGTTATATACATTAAGAATTTGTAAAAATATAAAGTCAAAGTTTTACAACAAAAAAAAAAATTTTGGAGCACCATTTCTCTCCCATTTAATTTAATGATGCTTCATTTATGATTTTTAGAATTGCATTATTTTTATGCATATTATTTTTAAAATTTGTGTTAGCAAGACATGGAATATTGTTAAGTTAATGTAATATTAACATAAACTTTACCAACCCGTGAAGCGTTAGCTCCAGTCTTTTACATGCTGTTTGTTTTTAGACTAAATTAATACACATCAAGTTAGCATTTTTTCATGCTTCAAAAGTTAAGATTATATTTTTAACGTTTCATAATACTTTTAAAATTAAAGCCGGAAATAATATTGCTTTTTCCCATCCTGCAGGTCTACATTACACTGCAACAGCTATCATAACTCTGGCTTTTGGCATTGATATTTATATAATGTGAAAGTACTATTTGCTACCTTAAGCTCTGGAGAGATTATAATGTGTCTACAGATCCATCATGTGGAAATCACACCATAGTGAAAATGCATTTAGCTGGTAGCAATGTATCACGTTTGTAGACATGTGGGGCGCTTACAGTAAAAGCAGTCGCTACCTACCCACCATGGTTATCATGGCCTGTACCACGCGTACTAGGGATAATTTAAAAAAAAGGAAGCAAGACCGAATACAAATAATTACTTTATGTGTGGTTTCAGTTACATTTTGGCTATCTTCAGACAAAGGTACTGAATACATTCAGTAATTTTGTCTTTATATGGCAACAATGCTGTTACTGAAACATCACACATATATATATTTTTTTTATTTGGTCTTGCTTTTTTGGTATTTTTAAAATTGCCCTTGACTATTAGAAAATTATGCAAATTTCCTTTTTATTTTATATACCATTTTAAAAAGTGTATTCTTTTGTTAAAATATCCAATTTCCCACACTTTTCTAAAACTGCAACAATAAATAATACAAAATTCTTCCGAGTTAAGGTAATTCGATATTGCAGAAATATATTACATTTATAAAAGTTGCTTAACTATTTAGATATGTAAATGCCGGATTAGGTGCCCTTTAAAATGTTTGCTCTGGCTGTTTCTTCTTGGACAGCCGAGAGTGAAGTGGACAAAGTGAAATTTTCAGGTTGTGCCGACCATTTTCCTTTATTCAAACTAATCATTAGCTCTTTTTTTTTTTTTTTAAATAAAAGCCCAGTTTGGTTACTTGCACTCACTGGAGGGGTTGGACTTTTTCAAGATTCAGGGGCCATTGGGGCAATTTTTTTTTTCAGAACAAAGTGTCTAAATCTGCATTCAATGATCCCGGGTCATGGTTTTTAAAAATTAACAGTTTAGACCACTCCTCCAAACAGCACTCTATTCATTAGATGTGTTTGTGAAATTGATCCTATATTTCAGATTTTTTCACACGCATTTTCGATATTGCTGTTTGCAATTTATCTCCATTTTGCTGAAAGAAAATTCATTACATTGAGTTTACAAACAGTTGGGGCCTGTATTCATTCATGAGTAAACCTCGCTCGAACACTACACAGGCGAAGCCGGGTCCAGTCGGGTAAAACCCGGGCGTTGCCCGGGCCACTCGGCTAGTATATATATATATATATATATTTTTTTTTTTTTGAAAATAGAGCAATCCATAGATAAATCTTTAATTAAAAAGGCATATATTGGATAAAATATTGGTAAAATAAATGATATTTTGATCCAATATATGCCTTTTTAATTAAATATATATAAATTTATTTACAAATTTAATTTATAGATTGTAATTAAAGTTTTAAAAAATAATACTTTGCTATAATATTGTGGCGAAGAAAAAATTTATTATTTAATTTAATATTATTCAATGAAAATATTCAACAGAATATAAATATATATATATTACTCTTTAATTAAAAAGGCATATATTGGATCAAATATCATTTATTTTACCAATATTTCAGTTGGCTGAACACCAACCTTTATCAAGGTATTATAACATTTTAAAGTGTGTCAACAACAAACTCAGCGCCACATAACGTCAACAGCATTAAGTTTTTAAAATATTTTGTTATATTCAAATGGGGAGAAAAATGTTAAAATGTTATAACACCTTGATAAAGGTTGGCGTTCAGCCAACTGAAATATTGGTAAAATAAATGATATTTTGATCCAATATATGTCTTTTTAATTAAAGATTTAATTATGGATGGCTCTATATTCAAAAATATATTACTCTGTATTTGTAAAATCATCCTTAAAATATTTCTTTGCTTGCTTGTTCAAGATTCCCTAGCTGTAGATAGTTGGGTTGAAGTTTGTTGATAATTGTCGACATGCTGACGTTATCAATAAATACTTTCACATCTCCAGATATACAAAGAATTTATTTCTACGCTACAATATATCAATCTAGTTTCTATTTATTCTTGAAAAGCAATTTTGTGAATTTGGCTGGTAGTTGAAAGTTTTTGAAAGTTGAATGAAACAGGACCTCCCCCCAATAATGAATCCATTTACACTTAGAATAACTATAATCTTGCGTATTGTTCCCACTAAGAATTTCTACCAACCAGCGAGTGCAAGTAACCAAACGGAGCTCTGGCACATTTGTAAATACAAAGTCGAACTGCTTTTCACATATGTAGAAGACATGTGGTGCACTTACCGTAAAAACAGTAGCATACTTCTACCCACAATGATTATCATGGCTTGTACCACGTATAATAAGGATAAGCAAAAAATAATAATTTCTACTTTATCACAAGATATTTGTAGTTCTTCAAATTAAAGATACTTCGACCAGTAAATCTTTTTTATTGTCTCGACGTTTCGACAAAAATCTGACGAAGACAAAAGATGTTTGTCAAAAGGTCGAGATAATAAAAAAGATTTATTGACCAAAGTA